GTTGCCTGTTGAAAAAGAGTCCCATAAATGAAAACAACTACATCCTAATCGATGCCCTAGAATTACACAGTTATATCTGTTCAGTATCTAGTCTTGAGAACTTTTACGAAAAAGTCTTTTATTTCACTTTATGTCAAGCTTTTTCGAATGAAATTCTTTGAATATCTTGATAAAGACTACTTATAATCTTAGGATTTTGATATAGTAGACTGAACATTAACTGTTTTTTTACCTCATTGTCTTTGCAACTCAAAACGGTCAAAAATCTTAGATAAAGCTTTGTAATTCTAAGATAGAGTAAATGTCTCAGGACGATTCTCTGCTTGACACTTGCTCAGCACAAATCTCAAAGCCCATAATTGTGAATTTGTAAACTCATAGCTTTCGTTGACGTTTAATTATTTATATTCTAAATCTTTCTCGATCACTTTTGCAGTTGCTCACCTGCATCGCCAAAGACCAGACAGATCTTACGAGCCAGGTCCGGCTCACACTCACCCGGACTCGCCGCATGGGCGGAGGATTCGGTGGCGGCGGATTTGGTGGCGGTTTCGGCGGGGGATTCGGTGGGGGATTCGGTGGCGATGACGGCTTTTTTGATGATGATCCTTTCGACGACGACAATGGCATGTTCGGTGAGGATGGTGGTGGTGATGACGACAGCGAGTTCAGGGTGGACGGTACCTTCGTGCCGGGTATCGGCGTCACAAAGGCGGGAACCTACCTGGTCGTGATCACCACGTACGGTCGTATCGCTGACGGATGTTCCGCCGAGTCCTTGGGTCCGATCCTCAGCATCAGAGGCGGCTTCGGAGGAGGATACGGAGGAGGATACGGCGGCGGTTACGGTGGCGGTTACGGCGGTGGTTTCGGCGGCGGGCCCTACAACAGGTTTGGCCAGAACTTCTGGCAAGGCGGCGGCGGCTACAACCAGCAACCGTTCGGACAGCTCTCAAACCCGGCCATCATAGGCGGAAGCGCCACTGTCTACTCCACTCACATCACCGGCATCTCCAGGAACAACCTCCTTGGTCGTGGCATCGCTCTCTGCAGGGGAATCAGCAACGGCCGCTGCCAGGGCTTCATCCCCTACTGCTGCACCATCCAGAGAGACAGCCTGTCTGCAATGGAACTTTTCGTCGGCAACAACGATGCTGACTCCGATTTCGACTTCCCTCTAGGTGGAGGTGTTTCCACGGCGCCCTTCCCGCTCGGTGGCGGTGACGCTCTGGGTATCCGGTCCGCGGGTGGTGCCGGCGGTTTGACCGGTGTGGCGACCACGGGTGGCCTCTTCCAGTGAGCACCCGACCCCCACGCCCCTTGCGATGTCATCAGAAATCAAAGGGCCTGCGTATTTTCACCAGCGTCAAGACCACTTTCTCATCCTACCCCAGACAGCGAAGATTGCCATAGTTCTAAGTGAAAAACACTTAACGAAAAGAAAAAAAAACTTACTTCGACGCTCTCTTTTAGAAGGCGGGTTTGAGACTTGTGGGTCCTTAAAAAACAAACAAACAACGTACTGCCTCTTAATCCCTCCTTGCCAAACGATTAACACCTTTAAAAATGGGGCCATCAGATTTAAGAAATTGAATCAGAAAAAGAACCCTATAAGCATCACTTCATGATTTCTATTGTCCAAACCTTTACACGTAAATTAATATCTTCACGAATAGAATAATCTACTGTCACCACAACCATCATTTCTCGATTAATCAGTACATCCGTACCACCACCGTTCAACGTTGCCAACTCTTTCTGACAAAGCTCCAATAAAAATCCTACTAACGTATGGAGACATTTCCCACACCCACCAAGGCCAGATATAAGCCGTATCTCTTAAAAATGTGGCAAAAGTTGATTTTTCTTGATCTTCTGTAACGCCGAGGTACCTTGGGGTGAGACTGTCTGTTCCCCCGCTCTTCCTCTGTATCCCTCGCCCAATCTTTTTCCCCATTCAGTACAATACAGCATACAATACAGCATCTCCGCTGCTTGACAAAGTGAGTGTATTGCCCTCTACTGCAAGAACAGTTTACCAAATACCTACCCCCCCAAAAAAAATTAATTAAAAAATCTCCCTCCCGTCCAAGCAATATGGCATAAAACCTACTCCACAGCACTATCATACCTCCTCATTTTATGTGTTAGCGCTGATTCTCAGACGTTTTCTTCTTTGCAGCACTAGCACAAACAAATTAAATGTAATAAATTAAAGCACTTAAGTTCACCTGTACCAGTTCCCTGTTGTCGAATATCTTTGCTATACAAGCCTCAGGAAAGTTCCATCCAGTTACTGACGAATCTGATTCTCATTATCTGTTATCCTAGGCCCTTTAGGATGTTCTGTTGATCAAAGGTAAACAATAACGACAGGTACAGTGGCCACCTAAAGAATTTCCCCTTCGAAAATGGCGTCAATTTTAAGTGTCATCCGATCTTGAATAAGGCTAGGGAAGGAAAACAATATATTCGAGACAATCAACCTTTACTAATGTTTATACTGCTGAATGTGTTTGTCCTGATGTCCTTGTCTTTTGCTGAATATTTGTTGAACCTTTTCTTACCACACGGTCGCACGCTCATGCCGCTTTTGACAGTATGATGATATTATCGTCACCTTGCCTTTCCATGTTTGTTACATTCCATGTCGGTATAAATATGAACGGGAAGGGTCGGTTTTGCAACCACAGCCCATTACCGAAGGGTTGGTCTAATTTCGAATAATGTTATCCTACCCGCGCCTCAGTCAGGTGGTGTATTCATTTATTATTTTATGACAACCGCTACAGTTTCTTTTTTTTGTGGAAAACTTTTGATGTTCTCTTGTCAACACCTTTTAAATTTTTCCGTTGCTTCAATACTAATTTCTGTCCCACCCTACTGCGATATTTCGCCCTGACCACCTTTTTTTTCTTTACCTCGCCCCAATTCTCTCTCTCTCTCTCTCTCTCTGTCTCCCTCTCTGTCTCTCTCTCTGTCTCTCTCTCTGTCTCTCTCCCTTTTTTCTCTTTCTCTCTCTTTATCCCCTCCCTCTCTCTCCCCTCCCTCCCTCTCCCCTCCCTCTCTCACCCTCCCTCCCTCT